TGCCCCTCATGCCTCTACGAGCACCTTACCACCCTTGATCCCTCTTTTGTCTTCTCCTCCTCCTGCATTTCCTTAAACACCGCCACCCCCTTATCCACCACCACTCTTAAAGCCATTTTCCAAGTCTCCACTAAACCCTCTTCTTCTTTCTTGTTAGAGCTCCGCCGTATGAAGTCGTTCTCTACCTTAAAAAACAAAAGGTTTTCCAACGTGTTCGAGCCCAATGCAAATCCTGTTATGTTAGGGGTTAGTACACTCTCTGGTCCCTATTTAGACTCGACGACAAATGCTAGTATTCATCCTCTATTGAAATTAAGGCTAAAACCATAGGCTCAATCTCCACTCACGTGACTGGTCCAATCTTTGAGTCCAAACCTAGTCAGAAATCACTGATTATGCTTCGACCAACAATCCTGTAATACAAATCCTCAGTTCTCCTTCGACGTCGGTTGAATATCGTTCAACGACCCTCGCTACTCCTCGACAAGCCTAAAGTTTCCTGGGGTAGATATTTGATTGGATGGAGCTTTCTTCAGATTCTGCTGATGCTTTCAGTGGTGGAGGATTCTCTAGTGGTTTACATTTTAAGGTTTGATAAGAGGAGGTGGTGTACATCGGGAGGCGACAGGTCTAGTTACTTCAGTGACAACCATGGGTGAGGGTAGAAATGTGTTTAATTGAATGTATTGAGGTGTTCAACAAAAAAATTAAAAGAAAAAATCAAAATTGAAAATTAGGGTTGGGATGTTCCAAGAAATGAGATGCCCAACCAATATTTCGGGGTGCATTTAGAGGCACCTCCAAAGGTAGAGAGACTCTATTTGCACCAAAAAATTAGGTTAAACACCCAGTTATCAATTTTTTTAATACCATTCTACTCATTAACAAAATAACCAAACTCTAATCTTAACCGTTCACTTTTAAGATTCGATAGATAAAATATTCATAAAAAAATTAAAAGGACCTGATATTAGTAATTATAGCATTGAATCACATTTATTTTTAAAAAATAGATGACAATTATAATTTCAAGAGAAGCCATCTATCTTTTTTGTAATACAAATATAATTTAAATATATAGTTACCGATTTCTGATCATCTTAATATTTTGCATGAATATTTTACCCAATGAATGCTAAAAGGTAAACGATTTAAATCATCAAAATTGGCCCGAAAATGAGCCCATACCTAACGCTCTTTTAAATTGAGATGACCAACTTAAAAAAATCATAATCGTTATAATTTACCATTATTTTTAATAAAAGTTTTAGGGAGAATTACCTCCCAGTGAAACAAATTTTTTTTTTTTTACACAAACACGGAGGGGTGTAACTTCCACCCCCACAGTTTTTCACTTGCACCTCACACCTTACACGTTTTTGTAAATTTTTTCTCCGTCATCCCCCAAAGTTTTAAGGAAGTTTTTAGAACGGGTAATGATGACCTAATGGTGGGAAGGCTCTAAATGCATCCCAAAACATTGGTTGGGCACCCCATTTTTTCAAATTAATTTTAATACAATTTTATCCCTAAAGTAAATGATCAAAATGGCCAAAACCCTAACTCTTCCAACCACCTAACTCTGGCTAGCCTCTTAGCACACTGACCATCTACTCCATTATTCTTCTTCACGTCGCGCTGCTACCATTACCATCGTCGTGCTCAGGAGGTGCCAGTAACTCCGATTTTTTCCCCTCATGCCTCTACGAGCACGTTACTACCCTTGATCCCTTTTTTGTCTTCTCCTCCTCCTGCCTTCCCTCCAACACCGCCACCCCCTTATCCACCACCACTCTTAAAGCCATTTTCCAAGTCTCCACTAAACCCTCTTCTTCTTTCTTGTTAGAGCTCCGCCGTATGAAGTCGTTCTCTACCTTCAAAAACCAAAGGTTTTCCAACGTGTTCGAGCCCAATGCAAATCCTGTTATGTTAGGGGTTAGTACACTCTCTGGTCCCTATTTAGACTCGACGACAAATGCTAGTATTCATCCTCTATTGAAATTATGGCTAAAACCATAGGCTCAATCTCCACTCACGTGACTGGTCCAATCTTTGAGTCCAAACCTAGTCAGAAATCACTGATTATGCTTCGACCAACAATCCTGTAATACAAATCCTCAGTTCTCCTTCGACGTCGGTTGAATATCGTTCAACGACCCTCGCTACTCCTCGACAAGCCTAAAGTTTCCTGGGGTAGATATTTGATTGGCTGGAGCTTTCTTCAGATTCTGCTGATGCTTTCAGTGGTGGAGGATTCTCTAGTGGTTTACATTTTAAGGTTTGATAAGAGGAGGTGGTGTACATCGGGAGGCGACAGGTCTAGTTACTTCAGTGACAACCATGGGTGAGGGTAGAAATGTGTTTAATTGAATGTATTGAGGTGTTCAACAAAAAAATTAAAAGAAAAAATCAAAATTGAAAATTAGGGTTGGGATGTTCCAAGAAATGAGATGCCCAACCAATATTTCGGGGTGCATTTAGAGGCACCTCCAAAGGTGGAGAGACTCTATTTGCACCAAAAAATTAGGTTAAACACCCAGTTATCAATTTTTTTAATACCATTCTACTCATTAAACAAATAACCAAAATAACCAAACTCTAATCCTAACTCCGGCCACCCGTTCTAGCTCTGGCAACCTTCGACCATCCCTTTTCAACTCCGGCCACTAGTTTATATAACCCTTCCATGTCGCCAGCCAACCACCTAGCTCCGGTTAGATCGACCTCCTAAAAAATTTAACAAAACTCAAAAAATAACCCCAATGAAATCAAGATTTCTTTACTTTCCACCCTATTTGCTAATCATATCCTTGTACTTCATAATGGAGTCCAACATCTGCAACTTCAACGGTTGCTTGAACTTGTTGAAGAAATTATCAACCTTCACATCAACTTGTTCATTGTCTACTGCTCCTTACTCTCTTTTACCATCGTCAGATGGTGAGCCTCGACGATTTTGTCATTCTCGAAGTGTGCGAACGTCGGCTTCGCACTCGTCAACTTTTGAATCTTTGTCATAAGTTTCTCTGGCAATTCGCTGAAGGCCTGGTTGGTGTCGAACTTGGTCATGTTCACGTGATAATGGTCCTTCAACTGATTGTAGACCTCGTCTAGACTCCTTGAATCTTCTTCTTCGAAATATGTTTGTCGAAAATTTTGATGGGTCTTTGATTTGGGGGTTTCTGAATCTGGGTTTGGGTTAGGATTGAAGTGGGTGGTGGTGGGAGGTGATGAGTGGAGTTGTTGGGATCTGAAAGTGTAGAGATTGATGGAACTAATGCAATAGCATTGTGGGTCATTTGCCGATGGCAAAGATTCCAACACAGGTGGGTGAAAAAAGATAAAAGTGGGATTAACAAAGTGTTTTGGGGTGTTTTAAAAAAAATAATTCAAAATTCAAAATTAGGATTGAGGTATTTAAAGTAATAGGGTATCCAATCTAATTTTTAAGGTACATTTAGAGCTTCCTCCAAAGATGACCTAATAGATATTGGGGGTGTTTGGCAATAAATATTTTAGTTTTTTTTTTAAAATTAAAATTTACAAAAAAAATAAAATAAATTAAAATAATTAACAGCAACTCCAATGGACTTGCTAAAAGAGGCCCCAACCATAATACATTTTGACCCTCCAATGGCCTGGTTAAAAGGCTAGCTACTTTACTAGTCTTCCCCAGTGGCTACATATGAAGAGCGCTGAACCCTCTCCAAATTGTATTGAAATAACTTTTTTTTTAAAGGAAAATGAGTGAGAGTATTAATTAGTGTTATTATTAATGATGTAGTAGTGGGTGAGATCTAGTGTTACAATGACAATGTTTTTGTGCCTTATTTATTTATTTTTTTTTTAAAAAGTGGGTGTTAACTCATTAGTGGTGCTTTAGAGTATCACTTTTAGTGGGATGTAACATTACTGATTTTTAAAACTCTCCTCCCAAAATAATTTTTCAAAATCATTTTTAAAAGAAATAAATTAAACAAATTTTCGTACTTATTTCAAAAATTACTATGCAGACACAAACCAAACACACCCTCATTTCCCACAATTTCTGAGTCCCGTAGCCTCCACAGCCCATTACCACCATATTGCGTCGCCGGCCTTTCGCCTCCTCGCGTCACCGCCTTCCGTCGTGGACTTCCTGCCTTTCGTCGCCGTCTTCCATCTCAGGTATACTCGGACTCTCTCAAATCAATCTCTCTCTGTCTCTCTCAGATCAATCTCTCTTTGTCTCTCTCAAATCTCCTTGATCTCTCTGTTTTTTGTCTGGGGAGGTTACACAATTTTTACCACAACTAATTGATATGTTTGAAATAAGCTAATAGAAACTAGTGTGAGAGATTTGAGATATGGAATTTGTAACAAATCAGTGTTATATATGGAGCTGTTGGAGCTTGTGGTGTCACCCTCCTAGAGAAGGATTTAGGGCCATCTGTATAATCAAACTTTCCTTGTAGGTTTCATAGAGCCAAAACCTGTTGGAGCCTCTGAATCGTATGCTATTATTGGGATATATACACACATTCTGTTGCTTAAATCAATATAGATAAGTTGGTTAATCTTTGGAGATTGAAGATGACTAGTATAGAGAAAAAGCATGCTAATATGTTTAAAGAACTTGTTCTGGGTGGTGATAAAATTGAGCATATGGTGTTTGCTTAAATGCCACAGAAACAAAGATTTGCATTATATAGTCAGCAACCATTTTCCTAACCTTGAATTTTTGTGCATGACACTTCTCAATGGATCTTCAGAAAGAAAACAATTTGCATATTTAGTTTAGGCCTAACCTTGTGAGTGTTTATGAGACTATCAGAATTTGTAGCATTTGCCATATAAAATACCAAGTAAAATTGCAGAATGCAGGTACTTCAAGTTTGGAATTTGAATTAAAAGGACCAAATATCCATCATCTACATATTAAAAAAATTATCTGCAAGGTAATACTAAAATGGTTCAATTTCCAGCACATAACATAAATATAGAGAAAAAAATACAGCAAAGGTGTAAAATACAATTGAACTGTTGCTTCCAATGATCATAACTAAAAACATGTTCAATTTCCATATGCTGCCACCATACTAGTACAATAAACTCTTCCCCCTTGCTACTAGTGACTAGATTAGAAACCAAGACGTAACTACATTATGATTAGTCCTCATATTACATCTGGAAAACTATGTAAGTTGCTGTGATAGTTATATGTGCACATATACTCTCATTAGTTGGTTATACTGTCATTAGTTGTGATAGTTATATCAAATCTGATATTTTTTAATATAACAAAGTCACATGCATATAAACACTACCATAATGTTTCAATTTGCAATTCTAATAATTGAAAAAATGCTAAGAAGCATGGACACGGACACGTGACACGACACGAGTACGACACGGACACGCTGACACGTTAATTTTCAAAAAATGTAGGACATGACACGTGAGGGACACGCATGAAATATGTAATTTTATATATTTATTATATGTTATATATATGAATATATCATTAAAAAGATAATAAAAAATACAACGATACTAATTCCTATAAATTTATATAGTTTTTATTTTATTATTGTATCTTAAGTTGTTTTGTTCAAACTTATAATTAATTTCACATATGTCTAATCGTTAGACACTTGTATTTAAGCGATGGACACGTATGTCCTTCAAATGTCCAAAGAGTGTCCAAGTCTTTAAAAAATTTAAAAAATAGGACACGTTTTGAAGAGTGTCGGACACGTGTCCTGAGAGTGTCCAAAGAGTATCGGTGTCCGACACGGATACGACACGAATACGTCACTTTCTTAGAAGTGTCCGTGCTTCTTAGAAAAAATGTAGTAATATGTAAATCCTTGCTGGTAGTGTTAAATCCTTGCTTGCAATTTTTAAAATATGCTTTGGTGTTCAACCTATTAGCTTCTTGGTTGCTGCCATATTGCTAATGTTAATGTAAAACTTGATACCGTCCAATTGCTAGGTACTCATTAGTTGGTTTTGGGTTTTCTATTGTTTGTTTCCAGTCTCCATTGGGTGACTCTGAGTTTAGTGTGTGATGTCTTCCTTGAGTTGTTTAAATAGCATGTGTCCGAATAGGTGTCAGCTAATGCATCTGGGAAGTAGCCTTGTTGTGTCTGCTTTTGGAGTGTGTGAATGGAGCGGAATAAGAGAATTTTTGGGATTATAGATTCATGGACCTTTCCATGCCTATTTTCAGGTGTTCCTATCTGAAGCTCTCCAAATCTTTTAATCTTCTTGAGCCTCGAAAGGCCATTGTCCTTTGTATGCATTAATCCTTGGACTTCTTGTTCTGTTGTGGAAGTCTTTTATTCATCATAACTAAAAGAAGAGAAACAAAACATCAATAGAATCCGTTGGAGTTTGGAGACTTTAAGCACAAAAATGTTATTGGTTCTCAATATCACCAAGAATTTCATGTATCAGTTTAGCACAATATATAAGGAAAATCTCGATTGTGGAATTTTTATTTCAAGTAAAATGTCATCTCTCTTGGATATGCTTTGGGTCCTGGGCAGCCAGCCACTTATTAATGGTTGAATTTGTATTAAAAAAAAATAATTATTTGTTAAACATGTTAACGAAATATTATTGCAAATTTACATTAGTAAAATATTAGCAATTAGTATTTTTCGTTTTAAAAATTGGTTAAGTTAGTTTGAATGATTAACTAAAATAAAGAGTGTGATTGGAGAGCACAATAGCTTAAAAACAATTAGATAAAATAAAGAGTGTACTATTTTTGTACTTTAGCTAGCGAAAAATGAAGAGCATGGTTGGAGTTGCTCTAATAAGACAAACATCAAACCCATAATCATTTCACTTTACTCTCACAAACGTCACATCTAATTACAAAAAAATCCAATCATCTTCCAAAATACAAAAAATTTAGCCTACAAAAATAGCCTAAAACGAAAATAGCAACTTCCCAAAAAAAAAAAAAATCAGGGTTCAAATATTGTAACAAAATAAACCTTCAATTTTTAATTTTGTCAATTTAAATCCTAAATTTTTTATTTGTTTTCAATCTAAATCATTTGTCCATTTTTATTAAGTAAAATCAATGAAAAAAATGAGTATTTTAGTTATTAAACTTAATGAAAAGTATATTTTAAACATTTTATATATACTTATATTGAATTTAATGATTAAAACTCTCTTTTTCCGTTGATTTTGCTTAACATAAATAGGTGAATGGTTTAAATTGAAAAGAAATAAAAAAGATTAGAATTTAAATTGACAAAACTAAAAACTCAAGATTTTTTTTATTACAAGACTCAAAAATTTTTTTTTTTCCTAGGTAATTGTCCCAAAAATAAAATGACCATATTGCCATTGTGGCCTCTTTTGGAAAGCTGGTTAAAAGTCAGTTTCCAGCTTTAACCCATTTTAAGTCACATCACCTGTCACATAACTTACTCACAAAAAGACAAAATAGATTTAAAAAAAAAAAGCCAAAAAGCCAACTTTTAATGTACGCCAAAAACCCTCACTCACTGATTGATTCTCTTGTTCCCTTCATCCATCATCAAGGAAAGAGATTTTATTTATAAAACCGAGAGCAAAGGCCCGCATACACACCCACACCATTCCCCTTTCTCATCCATTGTCCTTGCCGCCGCCACCCTCTTCCTCTCTCTTCTCCTTCGGCACTTCCCCAATTGCCTCCCATCACAATCTCAATCACAATCGGACCACCTCGATTGGAGCATCACTATCCATGCACCACCATCCATCCATTGGGGTATCTCTTTCTTTGCTTCAATATTTTTTCTTTATTTGTTGTTGTTGTTGATGATGAGAGAAAATGTTCTAATGATTTTTGCTGATTATTTGGAAAATTTTGTCAAATTTCTAACTTTTTACTACATGAGTTTTGGTTGTTTGTTTGATTTGGTTCTCAAAAGGTAGATTTTGTTCTTGTGTGTTATGAGGATTTAGGATTTCATTGTTTGATTGAATTTTTGTTATGTGCTTTGCATTTTTCTCAAATATGTTTGAGAGTTCATATTCAATTGTTATGGTGTTCGAGGTTCACTGAGTTGGTTCATTGACTTTGATTCAGTAGCAAATTTGTAATGGAAGGGTAAAGTTGGCGTTTCAGTTTATTAAACCGATGACATAATTTTTCTGTCGATTGATAAACAGAATGGCGAAAAGTGATATGTGATTATAAATCTTAGGGGAGTTTGTTTTAATTATCTTAAAACTGTGATGACTGTATTTGTATCGAACCTTAGTGGAGGTTAATGTAATTTACCCAAAAAAAAGCATATATCCGTAAATGAGCCCTCTAAGCCATCCAATCATAGCCAATGTTGTTGTATAAAACTTACTGAGCCATCTTGATTCCAGGTTTATTGAGCCTTGCAACTAGTAGAGGAGAGAGAGAATGGCCGCCAAATCAATGGATTTTGCTATGGGAAGCCATCCATTACCAAGTTGTTTTGCTTCAAAATCATCTAAAGTTGGGGCTTTCACCGTCAGATGCTCTTCCGTTACTCATCCCACTGGTGGTGCCACCATTGGTAACCTTCTCTATCATATATATACATATATGACACATCTATATATGTACATGCATATTTGTATGTACATGTATGTATGTGCTTTTATTTTTGTTTGTTTCCTTAGTTTATAGGCATATACATCAAATGATTCTGGAAGTAAGATTTCTGTTTCGTATTCAATTTCCATTTTCCATTGATTTTTCATGTTTATAACACGATTGTTTGGAAATTTAAAGTTTCTCCAGGAAGTATGCTGTGGATCATGGATTTGTGGAGGATTAGGGAAAGAACCAGAAACCTAAGGAAGAGAATGAAGTGAATTTTATTTTTTTTTTTTTTTTCTTTTTTTTCTGTTTATTTTTTTTGTTTTTTTTTTTTTTTTTTTTTTTATTTTGTTTTTTTTTTTTTATTTGGTCTTTTTTTCTTTTTTTTCTTCTTTTTTTTTTTTTTCTTTTTTTCTTTTTTTTTTTTTTTTTTTTTTTTTTTTTTTTTTCTTTATTTCATTTCTCTGATAAATCCAAGATCCAAAATATTCTCATTCAAAAAAAATAAAAAATAAAAAAAAATAAAAAAATAATAGTAATAGTAATATTTCTATAACAAGGTGCCTATTTATTTATTTTTGGGTAGGTAAAAGTGATGTTTTATTTAGTCCTTTTTTGTTACTCTATTTGCTATATGTTAGAGCATCTCCAATATGCCCCCTAAGAACATCTCCAGTGATAGTTGCTAAGTGACATTGCCAAAGCTATTTTTTAGCTTTCTACAGTGTCAAATTGCTATTTTTTTGGCATTCTTGCTCCATTGGTACAAATGCTATTATTTAGAAAATTGTCATTTTTTGAGTCTGGTTTGTTGGGCTTTGTATATGTTTCGTTTTTGGGCTTTGATTTTCTTTGCCCCATGCTTTTTATTGCTTTGTATATATATGTAAAAACTTCTGTTGAAACCCTCTCTTGATCAAACTTTAGAACCATCGCTTCCTGTAGAAAATCTTTTGTAAAGCCATCACAACCGTCTCACGCTCAAATACATCTCTCACTCATCCATCGCTCTCATACCCATCTCTTGCACTAATCATGCTTCCATCTTTCTCTCACCCATCACCGATTTCACTCGGACAAAAGCATTGGTCTCAACTGAGAACAAAGATTCCTTTCTTTCACACTTCGATCTCCTTCATCAGAGCAAACTCTATTGTCAAGAAATGGGTTGAGGAAGGCTTGTGCCTTTGGAATTGGGGCAAGTGCGCATGCCTTCATCTCGTTCAGCCGTCAATCCCTCTGATCTCGACTTATGGTTTTATTTTCTAAATTTTTTTGGTTTTCATTTTCTTGTTTAGTTTGATTATTAAAACAAATTCTTTTTTGTTGGGTTGTGGTTATAATTATTGCTCCCCCTCTCTCTCCCTAAACCTCATGGCTGGCTCTCTTGCTAGCACTCTCTCCTTTTCTATAGTAGTGTAGCTTGTCCTCTCCTTTAGACACCCAATTATATTTATAAACAAGCGAGTAAATTTAGATTAGGGTTGATCTTGTATGTGTTATGAACTGGAAAAGGTTAGTTCTTAAGAAGCACGGACACTTCTAAGAAGGTGACGTATCCATATCGTGTCCATGTTGGACACCGACACTTGTTGAACACTCTTAGGACACATGTCCAATACTCTTCAAAACATGTCCTATTTTTTTTTTTTTTAAAGACCCACACTTGGAGGACACATGTGTCAATCGCTTAACACACGTTTCTATTAATTAGACATATGTGAAACTAATTAGAAGTTTGAACAAAACAACTTAAAAAACAATAATAAAACAAAAACCCTATAAATTTATAGGAATTAGTATCATATTGCATTTTTTATTATTTTTGAATAATATATTCATATATACAACATATAATAAATATATAAAATTATATATTCCATGCGTGTCCCCCACGTGTCGTGTCCTTTTTTTTTTAAATTAACGTGTTGGCGTGTCCAAATTAACGTGTCAGTGTGTCCGTGTCGTATCCGTGTCGTGTCCATGTCCATGCTTCTCAGATTCTATTAATTAGACATATGTGAAACTAATTAGAAGTTTGAACAAAACAACTTAAAAAACAATAATAAAACAAAAACCCTATAAATTTATAGGAATTAGTATCATATTGCATTTTTTATTATTTTTGAATAATATATTCATATATACAACATATAATAAATATATAAAATTATATATTCCATGCGTGTCCTTCACGTGTCGTGTCCTTTTTTTTTTAAATTAACGTGTTGGCGTGTCCGTGTCGTATCCGTGTCGTGTCACGTGTCCGTATCCATGCTTCTTAGGTTAGCTCTATATTGTATGAATATTGACAAAATGTTCCCATAATGGCCATGTTAATTTAGAAATTTTGTTTTGTGAAAGAAAGAAACTAAAATTGTTCTGTCATGAGATGGTATATTAAATGGAAATCATTTTTTTTGCTTGTAATGCCTGACTCGCATTCATGCTTTTCTTATGCCATTTGATGCATCACACTTTTGGGTGAAACGGCAAACTTCATTTTGTGTAAATAACTTTCACCCTTTTGTGCCTTGTCCTTTTGTCTAGTTGAAAATAACTATGAATGATTATTTAAATGAGTTACTGTAGACATCAAGCCATTATGCTTACAGTGACGTGCAATGTCCATCACATATATAAGTCAGATTTTGGTTTAGGCATGTTGTCTATCACAAATAAATCTGTACTGGTTTGGTTTATGGCTCTTACCTTGCAAAGGAAACTAGGATAATTTTCATCTTTATGTCTCGGTTTTATCACTTCTTGGTCTTGTTATGTACGGGAAGGATGATGTCACAATTAATTCTTAGAGTTCCTTTTCGTACTTTAAAAGTTCACTTTCCTATAGATGCATGGTTTGCCATCAATAATATTTTGAATATTTATTTTTGAACCTTTTGCTTCCCCATAAAACCATTTCTTGTTGATGGCCTTAGTTCTCTCTCCCTTCTCTATAATACAATTTTGATTAAAAAACACCTATGTGACTTGAGGTGGTGATGGAAGTTTTCTTGATGAGCCTATATGTTTAGGGGAAAGACCTTGGAAGGTAGCAAACACCAGACTTGTGCTTGAAGATGGTTCAATTTGGATGGCTAAGTCATTTGGTGCTTCAGGAACCCAAGTTGGTGAAGTGGTCTTCAACACATCTTTAACAGGGTAAGATTATTGTTGTTATTATTATTATTTATTTATTGTTTTGCATGAAGACACTTTTATGAGGGTGCCAAATATGTTGTATTGTTTTTTCTTGATTATTTTAGGACCGAATATGCTTCGGACACTTGGAAGATAAACGTGTTTGTTGCTTAGACAATTGTGAAACACACTTCAGAGCCAATGATTAGAATAAAAACAATGTGGATTTATATATAAATCTTTCTCCTTTAGGTTTTTGTAATTTTAGGAATCTATAGTCTAACACTTCTAATTTGTTTGTGAATAGAGGCTTTTGTAATGGATATTAGGACCTTTTTGTTGACACTTTTTTTATTATACATAGAATGTGGAAAATAATTTCTTACTATTTTGATATAATAAAATATGTGTATTTGTAACATATAAAATGAAATTGTTATTGTTGTTACACATGTGTTTATTTTTCATGACTTTTTAGGACTGAACATGTCTATTGCTTAGACACGTATAAAATATGTTGCAAGTTTAAGGAAAATAATTTGAGAGCCAGAGATTAAAATCAAAATATTGTGTATTTATACATTTTTAGTTCCTTTAGAAATAGATATTAGGACAGTTTGGTCACTTTTTTTATTTTTTTATTTTATTTTTATAACAATATAGAATGTGGAAAATAATTTCTTATTATTTTGAGATAATTTTTTTTTAGTTTATTTGTAATGGAAGAAATGAAGTTATTGTTTTCATATATATATAGTGGGTGTGTGCCCAACCGATTGGCATGCGTAAAATATAAATTTTAATTTTGATTTAAAATATATATGTTGTGTCTCAAAATATGAGACACATTTGTGTCAACACCACCTGCAACCTTCACATATTAATAGTATAGATAGATAGATAGAAGAAGATGTATATATGTTTGCCATCAGATGTTATGAAGGCAAACAACCGAAGTGTGTGGCTGTGTGAGTGTGTGCTAGGACTAATGCTTTGTTTGGATTATGGATTTGGATAAAAGAAAATGAGAGGGAAATGTGAATAAAAACTAACTTAAATTTTATTCATGTTTCTCTTACCTTTTCTTTTTTCCGTCACAAATCCCTATCAAAATTCTAAATCCAAACACAGCCTAAGTATAGTTCGAATGTGATGGCACACGAATGTGCTTCTAATCTCATAAATGTGTTGTGTGTGGCTCAGTGTTATTAAAGGCGTGCCTTGGCGTGTGCCTAGGCCCAAGATTTGTGCCTTGTAGTGTGCCAAGCTAGGCGACTTTAATAAGGATGTTTGCGCCTTGTAGTGTTCTAGGCCAAGGCGCAGTTAGGCCCTAGGCTTGTGTCTTGAGGGCTTTTTTATTGTTGCTTTAATTGGTTTTGTTTAAAATCTGACCATTGATTTAATATGGTGCAGTCATAGAAGATCTTTACTCTTATTACATATGCCAATACATTGGGCATTCAACCCTAAATCAACAATAGAAGAAAAAGTAGCCCTAATTTCTAATCTTCAAAGAACACTTTACTATTACATGCCTCCATTATCCAGTTTAGCGGATCCAAAAATTCTTCTTCACGTTGTTGCCTTCTTCTTCTTCTCTTCTTACGTTTTTGTCTCATTCTCTTCTCTTCTCTTCTTCTTCTTCTTCTTCTTGTCTACGTTGTTGTCTTCTCTACGTTGCTATCTTCTTCTTCACATGGATGTGATGTTGTTGCCTTCTTCGTCTTCTTCCATCTTCTTTTGCTTATTCTCCGGTCTCCTTTTATTTCTTTTCATTCTTTAGACTGATCTATTTTTTTCCCCCTCTTCTTATTCTTCTCCCCTTTCTTTTTATTCATGTTTTATGTTAATTTTTGAAATATTATTCATTTGTCTATATTAAAATAGTAGTGTTTGTTGGTATATATATTTTTAAATGCTTAACATTTCATTTTGCTTATAATGAACCCTAAATTATTTACTTATATTAAAGGGTAAATTACACTGATCTCCCTTGAGGTTTACCTTAATTACAGGGAGCTCCGCTACAGTTTCAAAAAGTACACAGACCTCCCTTACTTTTGAAACTAATATACAAATAACCCCCTCTGTTATCCACCCGTCCAAATTCAATCAGATTTGGCTGATGTCATCCAAAATTATTCTTCAAATTCCAATACTGCCCTTATCTCCCCATACATATATGTATATATATATATATATATATATATATCACTACACGGTTCTTTCCTCTCACTCTCTCTATTTTCCCTTTTTCCCCATCGTCTTCCGCTGCCCCGATGCCTCCCCTTTCAAAACCCCCGCCCAGTGCCACCACCACCATACCGAACTCCTCGCTCTCGCAGCTCATCCATCTCCCTGCCGCCAGCACCACCAAAAACCCTAGATCTGAGGAGCTTGGTGTCGCGGTGGTCGCAATCTGATCTTGAGGGTTGCAGTGATGGCGGATTGCGATGACGATTATGGCGATTGCGATAGTTGCAGAAAGAGAGAGAGAAATAGAGAGATCGCAGTGGTGGTTGAGTGCGATGGTGGCGATGCGATGAGGAGAAGATGTGAGGCTCAAGGAGACGAGGGTGGTGGAGTTCTCAACCAGATTACAAGCAGATTTCATGTCAACTGGAACTTCAATCTCAATTTTATTTTATATTTTTGTCTTTTTTGTTTTCTCTCTCTGTTTGTTTCTTGGTCTTGTTTGTTTAGCAAGAACAAGAATCAATTGATTCAATTATCTGCATGCAACCATCAACAGAAGTTAATGCAACTGATTTCTAGTGTGTGTGTGTGTGTGAATTTCTACTAGTGGGTTTTCAATGTTAACAATTAAATTCGATAAATTCCTCACCTTTTCTCACTTTCACTCTGCAAAATCGACATGAAAGAGGGGTTATTGTTGGTTTGGGTTTTGGGTTTTTGATTAGAGAGGTTTGGGAAGAGAATGTGAGGAAGACAATGGTGGAAATGGATAGTAGAGTGAGAAAGATGCTGATGATACAGAGTGGGTTAGCTCTTTGTGAAAGACAATGGGTTGAACGATATTATGGTCGATTTCACTGTCAAATTAACGTCGTTAAGGCTCTTTTGACGGGAAATGGGTCATTGTATATTAGTTTCAAAAGTAAGGGATGTCGGTGTAAGTTTTGATACTATAGGAGAGGTTTCTGTAATTAAGGCAAACCTCAGGAGAGGTCAGTGTAATTTGCCCTTTGGAAAAAAATATGAATAATATTTAAATTGATATAAGTTTGAGTTGGGAAGTGAAGGGTGTTTCGAGTATTTTTTTTTTAAAATTTAAATTTGATATAAGTTTGAACCAATGATTGAAGATGTCCTGATATGATACAATAAAAATAACCAAAGAATGAGAATGATTGAAAAGTAAACAAGTAGAAGTAAAAAAATAAAAATAAAATAGAAACTTTAAGTGCTTATTTGGTAATGACTTTTTTAGTTGATTTTTTAACTTTTTAAACTTTTTTAGTCGTTTGGTATTCTTACTTCGGCTTTTTGGCTTTGGAATGGTGT